ATCCAGAGCTGTGGCTTCCCCAAGGATCTACAGCGACATATTGGAAAAGGAATGATCCGACACCTGTGCCGGACTTTGACATGGAAAAGGTTTCGCCCCTTCAGATCATCTGGTGCTTCAAGAGACAGCACAAGGGAATCAGGGCTTGCCTGTCAAGAGAGTACTGCTTCGCTTGGGCTCCAAACACACAAGCCCATTCTATGTTCACCAATACAGTGGATTCATTGATAGAATCAAGCTGTAGAGCCCAGCGAGGATTTGGGCAGGCAGGTATTGCCTATGCTGGCTTTTCCAGCATCCCTTTCTCTATAGCATTACTATGTTTTTGACTTCATTGGCCACACTGCCTTTCTCTATATTGGCATGCCACTACAAACTACCTTTCCCATAGTGCCTCTCATTTCCACCACTTCCATTTCCCTTTACGTGCCTACAGTTTCTAAGTCACATTTCAGCTTTAACATGAGAGGTTTGAGTCAAGATTTTTGCTTTTGGACCACAGGATTAAGGAGATGTCTGTTCTCCCAGGGCTGGCTTTGTTATATGTTTTTCTTTGCTGAGAGTTTCCCTGGAGCGAGTGGTGCATATTCAAGAAAGGTGCTTTGGTGTCCAAAGGAAAAATCACCAGGGACTTGCTCATCTGCCCCAGCCAGTCAGTAAAAACAAGTGAAAGCACTGAAAACAAAGCGTTCCTACAGTTCCTTCAGAGAGACTCCCTCCCAGACAGCTCTGGGTTTGGTCCTAGCTCATCCATTTTCTCACAAACAGCTAGAGGCTGTAGGAAAAGGCTGAGTCCATCAGCTGCACAGCAGAAGATCTCCCACTTTGGAGTGCCAGGCTCATTCACCCAGGAGACATTTAGAAGCTCCTTCTGTTGTCAGTGCATTATGCTTGACAGGATTTCCTGAGCCCACAGAGACATCATGGTGGGGTCCTGGTCAGGGTTTTGTAAATATGGTGTCCTCCTATTTTTTATCCTCTGTCTAGGAATCAAGAACAAGAGGGACATATATACATAGTGTGAGAGGTACCTCCTTGTAAGTAGTCACCACTAGAGCGCACACCAGGCAGAAGTGAGAAAGGGAGCTGTTGGGACTCTGCACATGGGTGGAAGCTCCTAGGAGACTCCTGGAGAGGATAGTGTGTGACAGTGAAGGGGAAATGTTCCTGGGACCTAACATGGAAACAGTCACTGTGGGTCATATATAGCCTACTGTGATTGGTCCATTTCTCCCTCAGACCTCACTGTGAGGGTTGAGTGTCCTGTATACAAGGCTGGGAGCTGACAGCAGTTCTGTCCCTACAGACCAGGGAGCTGATTTCAGTTACCTGTGGAACTTTTTCACCGCTATCTAGCTTGTTATTTGTTGAGTTGGGACTTCCCAAAGATTGATCTGTACAGAAGCACAGTGACCACCCATTCTCACGGCCTGCCACATCCCAAAGAAGAATCTGAAAAGTCTATACATGTTCCTACCTATCATTGGCCCGAGTACATTTGGCTCTGTAACTGGCCTATCATTGCCTCACAGGCACCATTGTCCATCACCTTTATAGACAGCATAGAGCAGGAACTCTGGTTATTGTGTCAGATGGTGACCCTGGATAAACTACACTAGCCTATCATAATTTACCTCTTCCAGATTCTTATAAAACCACAACATTTCTTTGTGACTGAAAAACTTGTTCCAAGAGTAAGGGAGGAAGGCACGCTGCAGGAGGAAGAGGCACAGAAAATACTCGGTTACTTCTTGTCAGCCATCAAGTGTTGCCATGGCTTGACATCGTCCATCGAGACCTGAATTCTGAAAATATCCTTCTAGAAGAAGAGGGCAATGTTAAGCTGGCAGACTTTGGTATCTCCACCAGATGTAGAGCGGGCACTGTAGTGTAAGGGCAATGTGGGGCCAAGACCTTCAATGCCCCAGAACTGGTACTGGGAGAGGGCTACATTGGGAATAAAGCAGATGTGTGGAGTCTGGGTGTGTTGCTCTACTTTATTTCCACAGGGTACCACTCCTACCCAGGAAGCACCCTGGAAGAGATCTAAAAGGGACCTATGAAGTTTCAGCTCACGTGTCTTTTTAACTTGAAAACTTAATTCATTAAATGCTCACAATTGCCCCACAGAGGAGGGCTCCATTGATGGTCTTCAGCAACATCCATGGCTCATGAAATGGGAAGCAAACATCCCAAGTGACACCTACTTAGTTCCTAATGTTCTAGCCACACTGTCGTTTTGGGTTTAATATCATTGCCATCTGTTACTCTTTAAAATGGAAAATACAATGAAATGATGGGGACATACCTCATCATAAAGAGCAGTCACTCAAGGAGCTGGGGTTTTCACTTGGCTGCACCCCCTCATCCAAGCATGAGGACTTTGGAGTTGCGCCTCCCCATCCCCAGTACATCCCTGTATCTCTGTTGTTCACCTAAAACAAAGGGCCAGTGAGCCTACCTTTGGCCTTTTCCACACCCAGTCCTCAAAACAGCATCTGCCTGTTGTGCCAACAGCACCAGGGCAGAAGGTGGCCCGAAGTGCACCATGCCTGTACGTTGTCCCCAGAAGAGCCCCACTTGGAGCTATGCCCCCTATCCAGAGCTGCGGATGCCCCAAGTATCTACAGCGGCATACTGGAAGAGGAAATGACCAGGCACCTGAGCCGGACCTTACCATGCAAAAGTCATTGCCTCTTCTGAACATGGGGTGTTTCCGGCTTTCTTCGGGCTCCAAACACATAAGCCCATTCTATGTTCACTAACAAAGTGGTTCCCCTGAAAGAGACAAGCTGTAGAGCCCAGTGAGGAATTGGGCAGGCAGGTAGTGCCTATGCTGGCTTTTCCAGCATACTTTTCTCTATAGCATCACTATGTTTTTGACTTCATTGGCCACGCTGCCTTTCTCTATATTGGCATGCCACTACAAACTACCTTTCCCATAGTGCCTCTCATGTCCACCACTTCCATTTCCCTTTACATGGCTAAAGTTTCTAAGTCACATTTCAGCTTTAATAGGAGAGGTTTGAGTCAAGATTTTTGCTTTTGGACCACAGGATTAAGGAGATGTCTGTTCTCCCAGGGCTGGCTTTGTTATATGTTTTTCTTTGCTGAGACTTTCCCCGGAGCGAGTGGTGCATGTTCAAGGAAGGTGCTTTGGTGTCCAAAGGAGAAATCCCTGGGGACTTGCTCATCTGCCCCAGCCAGTCAGTAAAAACAAGTGAAAGCACTGAAAACAAAGCGTTCCTACAGTTCCTTCAGAGAGACTTCCTCCCAGACAGCTCTGCGTTTGGTCCTAGCTCATCCATTTCCTCACAAACAGCTAGAGGCTGTAGGAAAAGGCTGAGTCCATCAGCTGGACAGCAGAAGAGCTCCCAATTTGGAGTGCCAGGCTCATTCACCCAGGACATTTTTAGAAGCTCCTTCTGCAGTCAGTGCACTATGCTTGCCAGGATTTCCTGAGCCCACAGAGACATCATGGATGGGTCCTGCTCAGGGTTTTGTAAGGTGTGCTGTCCTGTTACTTTTCAGTCTTCTCTTTCAGAATGGAGACAAAGAGGGACAGTTTTGTAGAGTGTGACAGGGACCTCCTTGTAAGTAGTCACCATTGGAGCACACACCAGGCCGAAGTGATGGAGGGAACTGTTCCCTTGGAACACTGCACATGGCTGGAAGCTCCTCGGAGGCTCCTGGAGAGGATAGAGTGTGACAGCAAAGGGGAAATGTGCCTGGGGACAAACATGGAAACAGTCACCATGGGCGATATATAACCTACTGTGATTGGTCTCTTTCTCACTCAGCCCTCAGTGAGAGAGATTAGTATCCTGTATACAAGGCTGTGGGCTGGCCTGCAGTTCCTTCCCTACAGACCAGGGAGCTGAATTCAGTAACCGTTGGACCTTCTTCACTACTACCCAGCTTATTACCTCTTGAGTTGCGGCTTCACAAAGATCTGTCTGCACAGGAGCACAGTGACCACCTAGCCACATGTCCTGCCAGCCCGTAAAGAAGAACCCTGTGCTTTATGTTTTTATAAACCCCTTTGTACTGCTCGGGATATTGGCTCTGTGGTGGTCTTGCTTGGGGGTCTCGCTACACGGGCACAAGAGGAGGCAGGAATACTGGCTGGGTTCTGTCAACTTGACACAAGAGTCACAAGGGAGAGGAAACTGAGAAATGGGCCAGTTTCTTAAACACTGATGAGGCTGTTCCAGCCCACTGTGGGTGATGTCAGCCCTGGGCAGGGGTCCTGAGTCATATGAGAAAGCAAGCTGAGCAAGTCATGCAGAACAAGTCAGTAACTTTCCCCCATGATTCTTGTCTCTGCTCCTGCTCGAGTTCTTACCTTGACTATCTTCATTGATGGGCTTTGACTGGAATATGTAAGCTAAAGAAATCCTTTCTTCCTAAGATGTTCTTGGTCATGGTGTGGGACAGCAGGCAGCTGGATGGTGGTCCCACCACCCATAAAGAAACCATAAAGTACCCTAGTCCATTGCTTTAAGCGGAGGAGGTGTGGCCTGTGATGGAGAAGATGAGCAGGATCAGGATGAACGGTCAGGACAGAGTGGCCATTTTACTTTGGTCACTCAGTTCCCACCAGTCCTTATGAGCTAGTTTATGTTTGACTGTGCTGGCTGTAATTTGTAGATGAGTAAATATCTATCTGTCTGTCTGATCCACTGAAGCAGAAACTGGTGGAGACTAACCTCATTTTGATGAGAAGGGGAAAGGTACCTGGGGCACAGCATGAAGACAGCCACTGTAGGCTATAGATAGCCTGCTGTGATTGGTCCATTTCTCACTCTGACCTCACAAGGAGCAACTGTGAGGATTGAGGGTCCTGTATATAAGGCCGTGGGCTGGGCTGCAGCTCTGTCCCTACAGACCAGGGAGCTGATTTAGGTGACCTGTGGGACTCTCCTAGCTATCTGGTTAGTTGTTGAGCTGAGACTTCGCCACCACCTGTCTGCACAGGAGCACAGTGACCACCTAGCCTCATGGACAGCCACCCCAACACGAAGAGCCTGAACAGCCAATATATGGTCCTATATAACATTGGCCACCGTGCATTTGGCTCTGTGCAACTGGCCTACCATCGCCTCACAGGCATCCCGGTGGCAGTAAAAGTGATAGAAAACCTTGAGGAGGACCTCCGGTTCATCGTATCTGAGATGATGGCCCTTGAAAAACTGCACCACCCCAATATCATTCACCTCTTCCAAGGTACTGGTAACACCAGAGCTAATCTGCTTCATCACGGAGTATGCCAAGGGAGAAGACTTGTTCCAAAGAGTGACAGAGGAGGGCAGGCTGCAGGAGGAGAGACACAGAAAATATTCAGGCAGATCCTGTCAGCCATCAAGTATTGCCATGACCTTGACATAGTCCATCGAGAGCTGAAGCCCGAAAATATCCTCTTAGACGAAGAGGGAATCTTGAAGCTGGCAGACTTTGGTCTCACCACCAAGTATAGAGCAGGAACTCAACTGCAAAGGCAATGTGGGACCAAGACATTCAATGCCCCAGAACAGATACTGGGATTGGGCTATGATGGGAAGAAGACGGATGTGTGGATTCTGGGTGGGTTGCTCTACTTTATCAGTACCGGGAACCACCCCTTCCAAGGAGACACCATGGAAGAGATCCAGAGAAAGATCGACACAGGCACCTATGACATTCCAGCTCACGTCACTGGGCAACTGGAAAATTTAATTCACCAAATATTGACAGTTTCCTCAATGAAGAAGCCCTCCATTGAAGACCTTCAGCAACATCCATGGGTTATGAAGTGGAAAGAAAATATCCCAAGTGAAACCTTATTAGATCCAAAGGTCCTAGACACACTCTCTGACCTCAGCTTTAATACAAATGACGTTTTGGAATCCCTCCAAAAAAATATTTATGATGAGTTGATGGGGACATACTTCATCGTCAGAGAACAGGCACACAAGGGGCTGCCGCTTGAGCTCGGCTGCACCACCTCAGTCAAGCCTGTGGACACTGGAGCTGCTTCTCCTGCGTCCCTAGCACATCCCTCTGTCTCTGGTCTTCCCCCAAAACGGAGGGCCAGGGAGCCCATCTTAGGCCTCCTCCACACGCAGCCCTCACAACAGCACCTGCCTGTTGTGCCAACAGCACCAGCGCAGAAGGTGGCCAGAAGTGCCTCCATGCTTGTACGTTGTCCCCAGAACAAGAGCCCCACTATTAGCTCTGCCACCCCATCCAGAGGCGAGACTTCTCCAAGTGTCTGCAGCAGCATATGAGATGAGGAAACCCTCCCGTCCCCTGGGACTGACTCTGACATGGAAAATGCACTGAACCCTCAGAACATCAGGTGCTTCCAGAGACTGCGCAAGAGAATCAGGGCCTGCCTCTCAAGATTATGCTGCTTCTCTGGGGATCGAAAGACACAAGTCCAGCCCATGTTCAACAACAAAGTGATTCCCCTGAAAGAGACAGAATGAAAAGCCCAAGGAATTGGGCACGCAGGTATTAGAGGGTACATATGTGCTTTGCATTTTATTTCCTCTGTCTTTTCATCCGAAAAATCAGAAATGTGTATGCTTGTTTTGTGGGGACCAAAGGGGTGTTCAGATGTATTTCTACACCGGGTGGATTAAACCCTGCTACTTAGCATACCTCCTCAGGAAGAAATCCTGGAAAGCACAGAGAAGCATCTGGGCTACATTTTTGTCAGAAATGCCCCTTCTCCAGAGGTAACAGCATCCGAATGCAACCTGCATGTCCCACATCATGATATCATCTGCTTTGACTTAATATCTGAATGTGCTGAGGAGGAAGCTTGATGGCTGCAGGAAGAAGAGGCCCAGACACAATCTGACCAGATCAAAACAGTGATCAAATACTGCCACAAAACAAAGCCTAAAGCACCCACTTGGATGCAGACAGCAAGGTTAGAGTTGGACACTAGGCCTGAGCCCTTCAATGCTCCATAACTCTTTCTCAGAAAAGGATCTGAGGAGAATGATGGGTGGAGTCTGGGCAGGATGCTCCCTGAGTTATGAGCACTGACCACCTCCCCTGCTTAGGGAACACCATTCATAGACGGCAGGACCACATCCTAATGGGGCATCCGTAATTCCTGGTCATGTGTCTGGGCAGCTGAAAACCCTCAGTCACCAACTTTAGACAGTTGCACCACAGAAGTCACCCACTACAAGATATCAGAAACACCCATGGTCCACCAAACATGAACAAAGTTCACAGACTCTTCCAAGTGAGACCTGCCCAGGACACACCCTCTTAGCTGTGCTCTGTGACCTTGGATGTGACTGGAACATCATCTGTGCATCGGTGCAGAAGAGAAATTCTGAGAAAAACACAGGGATGTTTCTCACCCTGAAAGACTCTGCAGAACCTTGGGCTTATCTGAAGGACCTCTGTAAAGATTGGGACCCTGGCCATAGACCTTCCAATGCCACACAAACTCCTCCACTTCTGCTTTTCTCCATAAACCAAGAGCCAGTGATCCTGCCCTTGACCTTTCAGGCATCTTTTCTCAGATTGGCAACTGCCTAAGGACACGTCATGGGGTAAAAGTGTCTTCCTGGTTTACATTTTCTTCTGTTGTCCCAAGAAGAGCCACCAGATTGTACCCAGTTCCCCTGAGGCCACAAAAGACTGTCCTTTGCATGAGATTTAGTAAACTCTCAGAAGCAATGCCCTTGGCACCTGGGCAGCACTCTGATTTGCAAACTGCTTCTACATTGAAATAGTCATTTCAGAGGCAAAGGAAGAGAAAGAAGGCATGCCTTTCAGTTTTTTTTTTCTTTTTAATTTATTTTGCAATACAATTCAGTTCTACATATCAGCCACGGATTCCCTTGTTCTACCCCCTCTAGTCCCCCTCACCTTCCCCCCAACCCCCCCCCCCCCCATTCCCATCTCCTCCAAGGCAAAGCCTTCCCCACAGACTAAGGTCAACTTTGTAGACTCAGTCCAGGTAGGTCTAGTCCCCTCCTCCCAGGCCGAGCCAAACAATCCTGCATAGGCCCCAGGTTTCAGAGAGCCAACTCATGCAATGAGCACAGGACCTGGTCCCACTGCCTGGATGCCTCCCAAACAGATCAAGCCAATCAACTGTCTCACCCATTCGGAGGGCCTGATACAACTGGAAATTTTAATTCACCAAATATTGACAGTTTCCCCAGAGAAGAGGCCCTCCATTGAAGACCTTCAGTAAACATCCATGGGTTATGAAGTGGAAAGAAAATATCCCAAGTGAAACCTTATTAGATCCCAAGGTCCTAGACACACTCTCTGACCTCAGCTTTAATACAAATGACGTTTTGGAATCCCTCCAAAAAAATATTTATGATGAGTTGATGGGGACATACTTCATCGTCAGAGAACAGGCAGGCAAGGGGCTGCCGCCTGAGCTCGGCTGCACCACCTCAGTCAAGCCTGTGGACACTGGAGCTGCTTCTCCTGCGTCCCTAGCACATCCCTCTGTCTCTGGTCTTCCCCAAAAACGGAGGGCCAGGGAGCCCATCTTAGGCCTCCTCCACACGCAGCCCTCACAACAGCACCTGCCTGTTGTGCCAACAGCACCAGCGCAGAAGGTGGCCAGAAGTGCCTCCATGCCTGTACGTTGTCCCCAGAACAAGAGCCCCACTATTAGCTCTGCCACCCCATCCAGAGGCGAGACTTCTCCAAGTGTCTGCAGCAGCATATGAGATGAGGAAACCCTCCCGTCCCCTGGGACTGACTCTGACATGGAAAATGCACTGAACCCTCAGAACATCGGGTGCTTCCAGAGACTGCGCAAGAGAATCAGGGCCTGCCTCTCAAGATTATGCTGCTTCTCTGGGGATCGAAAGACACAAGTCCAGCCCATGTTCAACAACAAAGTGATTCCCCTGAAAGAGACAGAATGAAAAGCCCAAGGAATTGGGCACGCAGGTATGAGAGGGTACATATGTGCTTTGCATTTTATTTCCTCTGTCTTTTCATCCGAATAATCAGAAATGTGTATGCTTGTTTTGTGGGGACCAAAGGGGTGTTCAGATGTATTTCTACACCGGCTGGATCAAACCCTGCTACTTAGCATACCTCCTCAGGAAGAAATCCTGGAAAGCACAGAGAAGCATCTGTGCTACATTTTTGTCAGAAATGCCCCTTCTCCAAAGGTAACAGCATCCGAATGCAACCTGCATGTCCCACATCATGATATCATCTGCTTTGACTTAATATCTGAATGTGCTGAGGAGGAAGCTTGATGGCTGCAGGAAGAAGAGGCCCAGACACAATCTGAACAGACCAAAACAGTGATCAAATACTGCCACAAAACAAAGCCTAAAACACCCACTTGGATGCAGACAGCAAGGTTAGAGTTGGACACTAGGCCTGAGCCCTTCAATGCTCCATAACTCTTTCTCAGAAAAGGATCTGATGAGAATGATGGGTGTAGTCTGGGCAGGATGCTCCCTGAGTTATGAGCACTGACGACCTCCCCTGATTAGGGAACACCATTCATAGACTGCAGGAACACATCCTTAAGAGTGACATCTGATATTCTAGGTCATGTCTCTGGGCAACTAAAAACCTATCTCCTATCTCCTGTGGTCTAAAAGCAAAAATCTTGACTGAAACCTCTCCTGTTAAAGCTGAAATGTGACTTAGAAACTTTAGCCATGTAAAGGGAAATGGAAGTAGGAGGCTCGAGAGGCTCTATGGGAAAGGTAGTTTGTAGTGGCATGCCAATTATAGAGAAAGGCAGCGTGGCCAATGAAGTCAAAAACATAGTTATGCTATAGAGAAAAGCATGCTGGAAAAGCCAGCATAGGCAATACCTGCCTGCCCAATTCCTCACTGGGCTCCACAGGTTGATTCTTTCAATGGATCCACTGTACTGGTGAACATAGAATGGGCTTGTATGTTTGTAGCCCAAGCGAAGCAGTACTCTCTTGACAGGCAAGCCCTGATTGCCTTGTGCTGTCTCTTGAAGCACCAGATGATCTGAAGGGGCGAAACCTTTTCCATGTCAAAGTGCGGCGCAGGTGCCGGATCATTTCCTCTTCCAATTTGTCACTGTAGATACTTGGGGAAGCCACAGCTCTGGATAGGGGGCAGAGATACAAGTGGGACTCTTGTTCTGGGGAAAACATAGAGGCATGGAGGCACTTCTAGCCACCTTCTGCCCTGGTGCCGTTGGCACAAAGGGCAGGTGCTGTTGTGAGGTCTGGGTGTGGAGGAGGCCAAAGAAGGGCTCACTGGCCCTCCATTTTTGGGGAAGACCAGAGACAGAGGGATATGCTAGGGACGCAGGAGGAGCAGCTCCAGCGTCCACAGGCTTGACTGAGGTGGTGCAGCCGACCTCAAGCAGCAGCCCCTTGTGTGCCTGTTTTCTGATGATTAGGTATGTCCCCATCAACTCATCATAAATATTTTTTCGGAGGGATTCCAAAACGTCATTTGCATTAAAGCTGAGGTCAGAGAGTGTGTCTAGGACCTTGGGATCTAATAAGGTTTCACTTGGGATATTTTCTTTCCACTTCATAACCCATGGATGTTGCTGAAGGTCTTCAATGGAGGGCCTCTTCTCTGAGGAAACTGTCAATATTTGGTGAATTAAATTTTCCAGTTGCCCAATGACGTGAGCTGGAATGTCATAGGTGCCTGTGTCGATCTTCCCCTGGATCTCTTCCATGGGTCTCCTTGGAAGGGG